GTATACACACACATATGGAGTGGGCCTAAGAGCTGGTCCTTGCAGCATGACCTTTAGTGATCTCTTGTGCATACTCCTCTACTTTAACTCTTCAAGAACCTTATACTTCAAAGGAAGTGCAGAATTCTGCTTACAGGGGTGTCATAACAGTCATCTGGTTCCATGTAACAGTGGCCCAGGTGATGGAATCTTAAGTAAGCTATAGCCTCACACTTGTATAGGATGTGTGTGGTTGATTCAACTTTTTCTAGGCACCTTTCACAAACAGGACTGCCAGCCAATCCCATTTTGAAAAGGTATCCTTTTAGATGACAGTGTCCTGTAAGTAGTCCTACCATGCATCATAACTGGTTTCTGTTTAATTTCAACAGTTCCATGGTTATTCTGGCAGAAGGTCCTTGCATGAGTCCCTTTGCCTGTTTGAGTCCTGTTAAGGCGTGTCCACATTACTTGTGCTTGCCAGGCTTGTGCTCGTTGGGAGACTCGTCTGGCTTTTACTTGTTCTCGTAAATCTTCGTCCACACTACTTCAGTTGCTTGCCAGGCTTCAGCGCGTGAGGATCTGTATATTTACTCGAAGTGTGTATAGGCTGTAGTCGTACTTTAATTTATTGACTATAGTTTTTAAATTAAAAATTTGAAATTTGCTTGTCTTGTGACTTGTCACATCGTCCACATTACTCGCGAGCATAGTGAGTCACACAAGCATGAGCACGAGTAATGTCGACGTGCCTTTAAGGATTCCCAGTGTATTTTATGGTCTCTGTTTGTCCAGTCCCTGACAGCTTTCTTGGCAACTTCTATTGAGATGCAGCAACATGGTTCAGGTCCTATAAATAGACATTTGGATCCTGATTTTGCCAGTTGGCCAGCAGTTTTGTTACCTACAAAACTCTCATGATCCAGCACTCATATCAGTTGAACTCTGTTATGTTTGGCCACTTGCACGAGGGTTTGATGCCAGTCCCAATCCAGCTTTGAGCTGAACTGGTAATTGTCAAGTGCTTTAATTGCAGCTTGACTATTTGATAGAATATAGATGTTTCTATTTCTATAGCTCTTGTCTAGATTCTCAACTGCGCATGCCCTAATGGCTGAACAATTCAGACAGTTTATACATATCCATTTCATGACAAAATGGTGTAACTGGAAAATATCACCTTAGTGCCATGAATTTTGTAACCTCCATAAATCCTGTTTTATAATTTCAATAAATTTTTAAATTTATATACATAGTAAGACAGACATCTAATAATACCATTCCTCTAATTCACTACATTAATTTCAATTGCAGAACTAGATTTCTATGACAAAGTTGCTCACATCCGTGACATTCTTCAAGTCATACGTGTCCCCTGGGTAGTGCAAAATGAGCAACAAATCTGGCAAAGCTTCCCAAAATAAAAGTGCAAACTTCTTCAAGATGCAACAAAGCAAGAATTTGAGTGCTCTCCATTCTGAAGCAAGAAGCAAAATGGGTTAAATGATCCCAAATGCAACCATTGGAAACCAACCAACTTTAACTGCTATTTTTTAATAATCAAAAAACTAACAGTGAAATCCCATTTAAGATCTGTGAAGATCTGTGAAGCGGTGGATTTGAAAACTACAATAGGGAGAATCTTAAGTGGAAGTAATGTATTGCTGAGGTTGACTTCTGATCACCCGAACTGTAAAGTATATGATGAAAAACCTGAATATCAAATGTGGAGTTCAGTATATTTTAAATTCAGCGATGGCTATAACATGAAATTAAACTATTGCAACTAGCTGCTGTATTCAAAACTTACACACTAACTACCCATATAATAATGGTCTAGTAGGAGTGTAAAACACAGTAGAAATAAAAAAAATACCAACCACATATAAGTATTATTACCAGTTGTTTTATATAATGGGTGTATATCAAATAAGAAAAGGTACTAGACTTTGACAAAAACATATCTGAGGGTACCTCGTACCTCAAGTATGCTATCTTACCAAAGTCCAGCATGTTCAACAGTATTTCTACTGTGACAATTATACATCGTGCACACCTTGTGGCAATGTACCGTGCTGTTTCTGGTGTGCCAGCAAGCTCTCCATGGAGATCACCTGTCCCTGAGCACTTGTTAATACTTTAGCGACCATAGGCTGTGTTTGCTGCTGCTGTTGTTTCACGATAGTGGCAGCACCTGACACAGGCTGAGCACTTGTTGTCACACATGCTGCACCCTGCTGTTGCAGTTGTGTTGGCAGCGTCATGTGCGATACAGGAATTGGTTTCCCACCAACTGCAGCAAAACGATTTACAACAATCTGGGTAATCTTCAACACAGACAAAAATAAGTACTAAGTATTATTGCTAGTGGGGTGGGACTAAGTCCCCTGTACTGCGGCCACTCCTGGCCTATTGTACCAGACCCAGATGATAGGTGAGGGTGATTGTGGAGTAAATGGTGGAATAAAGATTGGCAGGGGAAACCGAAGTGCTCGGAGAAAACCTGCCCCAGCGCCACTTTGTCCACCACAAATCCCACTTGACCAGACCTGGGATCGAACCTGGGCCGCCGCGGTGGGAAGCCAGCGACTAACCACTTGAGCTATGGTGTGGCCTAAGTATTAAGTAAGTACACCTGCTGCTCTAATGCAATGACATCCAATCAGGAGTGGAAACTGATTTTTCAGATCGGCTGGTAGATGCTCCAGCTCAGAAGAAGTGCCCAGAGAATGACCAACACGTATTATATAAATGAAATTATTACAGAGGGAGTTCTATCTTCTGGGGTATAACACTCTGTGAAAGCAAACTGATGTTTTGGAGGAACATGTTGCCTCCATCTTCAGGGTCAAAGAATAAGCCAAACAAGAAATCATCATGTAGTAAGCACAGCAGGTTCTGCTTAATGTTTGCTTAATGCTGGTTTCTTGCTTGGCTTACTCTTTGATCCTGAAGATGGAAGCAACATGTCCTCTGAAACATCAGTTGGCTTTCAATTGACTATGTGGGGTTACATACAAGAAGACAGAACTGCCACTGCTGTGAAAATTCATATCTTACAATACTGCATCGTGCAGAGCCATCACTATGCAACAACTGCGAGATGGATGGATATACCACGGCTGTTTCTGGGCAATGGATTGGTAAACATGTCTCTGCAGCAACAAACATGAACACAATGATAGAAGAGCTGTGTTTTCTATGTGGTCCATGCCAAGATAGGATAAGGTTAGAGCTTAGTCAGTTCTGTACACGAGTCTGTGAAGAGAGGACTTGAATGTGCAAACCTGAAGAATCTCCACTGTTAAAATCCATTACCAGGAAATGTCTAGTGAAGACACTGCAGGCTCGAGAAGACTTAGCGTGTAGTGATCTGTAAAGTGTGGAAATCAGCGATAGTGTTATAGTTATTTGTAGTTATGACCTGTAAGTGGTCAATAAATCTAGTCACCAATCCAAACCCCATCTACAGTCACTCATATATGAGTACAACATTATTACAGTACAGGTTCAAAAAGCTGTTTCTGCACGTGTCATTTTTTGGAAGTATAATTACAACATTCTGAGGTACTACAAGTAACTCTGCTATAAAAGAAATCACCCTGGAACAACCAGTGTCTACTCCTATTTCCATCCATGTCCAACCAAACAGAAGAAACATAAGATTTAAGGTTGTCATGGCAGCGACTAGAAAAATACTGTCTTCTGATCATACAGTCCAGTACACTGTCACATATGTTTCAGAGGAGCTTGCTACCTCCAAGCTCTTGACCATCCAGACTAGTCAGTATGCTGACAGTTGTCCAGCTCATGTCGGTAGACACACTGATGCATCATGATGGCAAGAATGGCACTGTTTACCTCTAGCCATTACGCGAGGCTGGGTCTGGCCCTGACCCAGGATGGACATGGTGCTAATGACACGCTGTGAAGTGGGGGTCACAGCTGAGGCCCCTACACTCACAACTTGCTGCTGCTGCTGCTGTTGTTGTTGTTTCTGTTGCTGCTGGAGCTGTTGTTTTAGCTGTTGCTGAAGCTGGGCAATTGCTGCAGCCTGCTGTAACACAACATATTACAATGTTACAATCAATCAGATGCTGCTTTTCTCTATCCATTCAACTTAGATACTTGACTCTTATCATCCTAAGAATTTTCCACCTGATTCCACTCTTGCTCCTTGCCATTTTTAAGAACCATATATTCTGAGAACAACTTCTTCTGATTTGTATTTTGCTGCAGATTCACTACTTTATATAGCAAGGTTGTTATTATATTATTATTATAGTAAGAGGAGGAAGAAAAGGAAAAAGTAGTAGTAGAGGCGGCGGCGGCGGCGGCGGCGGTGGCGGTGGCGGTGGTGGTGGTGCAACTACTATTACAATCATCAATAACAATTTAACAACATACACTCTGCACAAGCCACTAGTATTGATTCTCACTAGGTTAAATTTGAGAGAAGTTTGTATTTCTCTACACACTCAAACTGTAATGATTCTGTGTGAGATTATGGTAGCATGGTCTGCCAACTGAGTGCTGCCTGAGTGGTTATGTCAACTGAATATGTGTTATGGAATATGACACCATGAAGGCAGGTAGACTGCTCTCAGTGTTTCAGAGAAAAACCTCTTGCCTTCATCCTGCACCCTGAATTTGGCAGCAGTAGGTTCTTCTGATATATTATGTGGTGTCACACCCCAGAAGACAGCAATCTTCACAGTCAAAGCCACAGGAACCTCAAATCAAAACCTTCAGTCCCTCAAGGACTCTGTTCCATAGAATTAGGTCAGGTCTGTTATACAAAGCGCAACAAGTGATGGCATATGGTTGTGTGAGAAAGTGGATGATGAGGGGAAGGAGGAGTAGGTGGGGGTACCTCTTACCATGCAAGCTATAAAAAATAATCTCTTTGCTTTACAGCTGTTACTGGACAATTCACTTTGCAAAAAGCCACGCCAAAAACCGACCTGCTTCAATTCTATGTGCATCATTCAACCAAGAGGACTCCCCCATGTTTGTGACTCCACCCAAAAGAAGGCAATACTTTTTCCCGAGCGCATGCCAATGCTCACTGCATGAGCAGGCACATGGCTCACCTTATTGGCATGTTGCTGCAACAACTGTGGCTGCTGCTGGATAGTCCCAATTATTGTCTGTTGTTGCTGTTGTTCTGGCAGTTGCTGCTGCTGTTGTTGTTGTTTAATGAAGATTGTCTGCTGTTGGGTTCCATCTGGGGTTGTGATGGCCTTCACAGCATTCACTAGCTTCACACCTGACAGACTTGTCGTGACAAGGGTCTTCCCTCCTGCTGTCAGCACTGGTTTGGTGGTGCCAACAGGCTGGGGACTCTTCGATCCAACCAGTTGCATCTAAGTATCATGTGATCAGCAGAAATGGAATATGAGTGGAAATCATATTGGATAATTTTCAAGGACTGCATCCTGTTGTGTTATTCCATAAAATTACTTTTAAAATTGTTTCTCTCTCAACGCAATAACCATCGAAACTCACTTCAATGTGCAATAAGACCAATAAACTCATTACTGTACGTGAAACGCGTGTTTTTCGATGGTTGTTGTGTAGAGATAGGAACTATTTTAAAAGTAACTTCATACTGGATAAGGTCTTTCCCATTTATAGGGATATCTGCAACCTTGCAGAGTGTCTCTTAAATTCTTAAAATTGCTCTTTGACTGTCCATGTTTGTGCATGGAAAAAAGCAAGTACCACCAAGTAGATTTTCATGAAATTTGATACTGAGATGCTTTACTAAGCATTATCAGCACATTCAAGTTTTCATTAAAACCAGAGAAAACTAATGAACAATTTACATGGAGACTTAAATGCATTTCTGTGCCCATCTTGAGCATAACTCCTTTCATAATTATCAGGGCAAAATATGTTTTCAATGAATGCTGTAGACAGAAGTGAAACACATGTCCAGTGCACTTCTCTATAAGTCTTAGAAATGAATGGGTATCTGTCACAAAAAGGGTGAAGGTACTTAGGGGACTGTAGAACCAGGAAGTGTATACTTAATGATACGGTTGTAAGGCCTAGATTATGCTTAGAATCCTTTGAAAGGACTAAGAACAAGGTGCAGTGACCAAGGAGGGAAGATAATAAAGAAAACGGTGTCATTTGTTTTTTTTTCCACCTCTTAAGCTCTCAGTCTGTCAGTCTGTACAGTTCTTTCAAGAGGTTAAAAAACTTTCATATAAAAACAGAGGCCTATTTTCTTTGGTCAGATCCTGAACATGAGCAGAATGGTGCATATATTTCTTTGAATTTTATTAAATAGTATGTTCTAGGAGTAAACTTGGGCAAGTTTCTGTTGTAAGGACACAAGAAATGAGGTTAATTTCAGGGAAGACTTAAATTTTAAGAAATGTACCATCAGTTCCAATTTAAGACTGCTTTTATTGATATTTGGCTGGAAGCAAATGGAAATTGTGTAAAAAATCTGATATTGCATTATAAAAGTTTCACTCTATTATCAACCTAAAAAACTAGCAGCAGTTTTGTTAGGAATACATATACTGTAGCCTAATAAGTACCTTTAAGGTTGAAACATGTAGCCATAAGTATTCAGATATTGTATGTAATTTGGAATAATTGTATACAAGGCTATGTGAGATGGTAAATGTATATATACAGTATACATGGGGTTGAACAAAATAATGGAAACACTAGAAACTGAGGAACAGAGTTTGTTGGTGTTTGCTACACTGAAAGAGCTTCAGTTGGCAACACTGAATGTTTTTCCGTTTGTTTGCCCGTGTGAGTGAATTAGTGATTGTCTTGAGTAACAGTCTATGTGAAAGAATCAGAGAGTGGGAGACTTGTCTGGTTTTGAAAGAGGAGAGATTGTTGGCCATCTGTGACAAAAACTTCCACATTATTTAGGTGTATCGAGAGCTACAGTTTCCAAAGTTATGTTGGCACACACAAGTCATGGAAAGACAACTTCACTGAAGAAGAACGGTTGCAGAAAATCAACACTGACCAAGAGAGACTGTACAGTGAGGAGGATTGTTTTGAAAAATCACAGAACTGAATATTTGTCTTGAAGATCCTGTTTCCACAAAAACTCTCTGGCATGCGCTTTACAATTCCAACATCCATAATAGGCTTGCAATTGCTAAACTTCTGATTACTGAAAGTAATGCTCACATTACTTAACCTTTTGACGTGGTCATTTAAATTCCGCGGCCGCGGCTCCTGCGGTAATATATTCAGCCGGCCATTTAAATTTTGCTCGAAAATTATTTATTCATCATTGTTCTTAAATTCTATGAGATAGGAACATGAAACTTTCACTAAAATGATCTTAAAAGGTGGTTTTATAACCTTACCTTATAATATGAACCCCCTTTATATCTTCAATGGAAGCATGTTATTTAGTATTTGAGCAGAGAATGGTACGCCTTGAAGGATGAAACTTTCACTAAAATGATCTTAAAAGTTGGTTTTATAACCTTGCCTTATAATATGAGCACCCGGTATCTCGGCTATGTAAGCAGGTGACGCCTTGAAGCATTAGTCTAAACACAGAGCTGGCTCTCGAAACGACCACCAAGGTCAGTACGATAAAATGGCGTCAACTGGAGCGATAATGAGTACTTTTCCCTCCCCCACACACATCCGTATCGTCTCAGGGGGTGACCACAGTGTTCTGCCTTAAATTGTGGCGTATTTCTAAGAAATGGGTGCTATGTACTGTGCGAAAGCAATCGATTTTACGAGAATAACATTTTGGACAACCCTCTTCTAAGAATTCCAATGGAATGTGTTTGTGTGGCCAGCTCAGGGCAATATGATATTATATACAACAGCACACATCACCTCTCTGGTGTTTATTACTTCACAAGCAAAGCAAATACGCCATTGAGTGACGAAACCGCTACAAGAAGCAACACGAATTTGCTGCAAGACAGGCATATGTAACGATGACTTATCTCAGCTAAACTCGTTGGCTTAGTATACTCTGTTCTTGTGACAACAGGCCAGCGAAAAATCTAACAATCTACAGCAAAACCATCAATTATTATGGGCGTTATAACATAGGTGTGCAGCTGGACGAAACATACACGCCGAACCCCCCCAGACGATTTAAATCCCTGACGAAACATACACGACGAACCACGGCAACGGGTTAAATGATGGTGTCATGACCCCAAAAATTTGGACATCAAACAATTAGAAATGCATGCATGATATGATCAGATGAGCTATCCTTCATGCTATTCCCGACATGAAGAAGAGTTTACGTTTGGAGAACAGCCAAGGAAGCCTACAATACGGAATGCCTGGTTCCAACAGTGAAATATGGGGGGAGGTCCTGAAATTATTTGGGCAGCAATATTGTGGTATTCTGTTGGGTATGTCACGCGACAAATAACTTCACGTGGGTCTCGGATTTAGCGAATCTTTATTGGACACTTACACTTACACACCATACAATTATTATCACTCGCAGTATCGCCTGACTCCTGTCTCTGCTTCGATGCTTATACTATCCTTGGCTGTGTCTGGATCTCAACTGTCTTCAGTGATGGCTATCCCAATACTAACTCGTCTCTTGTCGAAGCTGGGCTTTTATAGCCTCGGCGGTTGCTATGCAATGAACCTTCTGTTGTCATGCAACGCTTCGAACAATTCGTTACCTTTCATCTCCTAGAAAACACATTTGTTTGCCCCAGGCAATTGCCCACTCTTATTGCATTGTCTCTGTGGGAACTCTCCGTGTATTCATTGTAACTGTGAAGGCTCATTGTAGCCTGTTAACTTCCTATTGTGGCCGTTGCGCAGCGATGACCATAAGGTAGCACGTTACATTGCTCCCTTCTAAACGTTGTTCATCCCTAACGGCCTAACGGTATTTCCTTTCCTTTGGCATTTGTCTTTGGGGGTGCTGCCTCCGCCCTTTCTTTGTTGTGAGAATGGGTGCAAGCAGACTAATGTTGGTAATAAACTCAGCTATATGAGAGCAGGGAAGGAAGGGACAAATCTATGTAGGAAACCAGTGGAGAGGGGAGGGGAAGGGTCTGGGACAGGAGCAAGGTTAGAGCAGGTATAGGATATTTTGTCGGGGGAGAAAGGCAAGGTTAATGGGAGGGCATTAACCCTTAAGCTGGGGGGCTTGCTATGCGAGTCGATCACCGCCATGAAAACTTCAAATCTTACATAGTATTTATAAAGCGGCCTCCATAGTCTAGAGGTAACGTTCCCACCTCACGACTCGTGGTACGCGGGTTCAAATGCCCGGCGGGGGTCGTCGAATTTTTAAGGGCGGAAAAATTCAGTGAACAAGTCCTCCGGGACTTTAAGCTGTGTGTCCCGTGTCGTAACTTTACAGCATGTAAAAGAACCTCATATCTCCAAAGGGGATCACTGAGCCAAATTCCAGGACGTTTCCCGCCCAACAATAGCCTCTAAGGCCTCTGATAGATGGGGGAAGCATTATAGACACCGCTAAGCAAGTGGCCATACTCGCTTGTTTGGCAGGACTGATGGTACGCACCATTTATCAGTAGGGTAAAGAGACTGGCAGAATATCATAGAGGGTAGCACAATAGATCAAACTGGTTGCAGTGCATGGGGAAACCCACCCTCTCTAACTAACTAACTAACTAACTAGTATTTATAATGTTTCCATAATTTTGTTCAACCCATGTGTGTGAAAAACAATGCTAATATAAAGACTGATTGCTTACAAATCAGCAAATTAACATTACCATACCCACAAAGACAGATCGATCTTAAATTACAGGAAAAACTATGTACCTATGTACAATGTACCTGTGAAACATTCACCAGCTGAGCAGATGTGGCATTCACCAGAGCTTTTGGACTGGAGAGAGATGGCTGGGCAGTGGGTCGGCTGGTCACGAGCCCCTTCTGCTGCTGAACAGTACAAGATGACGTCGAGGTAACGGCTGTAGCCACAGCAGCTGTGGCTACGGTCGTTGAGTTTATAACTTGTGATGAGGGCGAAGAAGAAGAGGAAGATGATGATGAAGAAGAGGAAGTTATGTTTCCAACCAATGATGAGGTTGGCTAGAGGAAACAGAAATTTGCATTTAGTACCAAATGTACCTGACAGCACTAAGAAGAAGTTACCATGTTACCATTAAATCAAAAGTTACCAGATGGGATCAGACATTACTGCATTAACTCTCAAGACAACTTGCTGGGTGTCACGGACTGTGATGGAGGAGTACAGTTATATTCTTTAAGCTGTTTATTTAACAATGCTGCCAGTATTGAGACCATACAGTCAGGATTATGGCTTTGTTTTATGATTCTGTGAAGATGAAATTCCATAATCGAAACATGTGTAACAGAGTGGCATAGTGCAGTTCAATTNAGATTTTTCGCTGGCCTGTTGTCAGTAGTACAGAGTATAATATGACACGTCTTTATCTGCGCTAAGTCATCGTTACATATGCCTGTCTTGCAGCAAAGTTCCTGTGGCTCTTGCTAGCGGGTTTTACCTTTATGAATGTCANGAAAATGCTGTGATTTCTGCAATTTTTGTGATAAACGAATGAAATAAACACCGCTTTTATCTAGAAAGAATATAGAATCAGATATTGTAATTTACAGATTTTAGAATCTGTAAAAATTGTTACACTGTGGATGAAGCTATCATATTCTGTCCTTGACACTCTCAGACTGTTTATATCTGAGACGAGCCACAAGCGATACTGTTGTCCGAACTGTACAAACAGTACTGCCAGAACTTCCAAGCGTAGTGCGTTGTGTGGTGACTAAAACATCCACCATGGCCTCGTTTCACTTGGAAGAAGATGAAATTGAGTGCCAGCTGCTCAATGATACAAATTCTGACTGTGCTTCAGATGACTCAGAGAGTGGCGAGGAAGAAAGAGATTCAGAAATTGAAGCCTATGACGCCCATCATCTTCGTCGGCAACCTGGGGACCACCACACCAGCATGGCAGGAGGCGTGTGAATAATTATTCCGGTGGAGCCATGGGGTTAAATATCAATGAAGCTCCAAACGTAAATAAGGATTCCATCCCTTTCTGCATTTTCATGCTCTACTTCGCAGGGATTATCCGTCTGCTGGTGGAAGAGAAGAATAGGTACTACCACCAGTACCTAGACAAACTTCAAGACGGACCTTCTCCGTGGCCTGACGTGACTGATTCCGAGATGTTTCTGTTTCTAGGAATAATCATTCAAATGGGACATGACATTAGAGACAGACTAAAGGACTACTGGTCGAGTGCAGAAGAATTTGCCACGCCTTTCTACTCTAGCACAATGAAACGTGACCGTTTTCTACACGTTTTTCGTTTTCTTCATTTTGCAGACAACAATACAGAAACTGACAGGAATGCCGACAGTTATGACTGACTATGGAAAATTTGGACCATCTTCAACACTCTCAATGACGCATATGAAAAATATTATAACCCTTCACATTTGGCCACAGACGAGATAATTGTTAAATTCAAAGGGAGGGTGGTTTTTAGGCAGTACATTCCTAAGAAACGCAAACGTTTCGGAATCAAAATCTTCAAAATTTGTGACGCCGCTGGGTATACTTATGACATGAAAGTTTACCCAGGAAAAGACAGGACACATGCCGACCAACACGTGACAGCGACACATGCTACAGTTAGGGACCTATGCAGACATATTGAGGGAGTAGGTCTCAAACTGTACATGGACAATTTCTTTTTGTCACCACACTTGTTTGACGAACTGATGACAAAGGACATAACATGCTGTGGGACAGTCAGACCTAATCGGAAGGGCTTGCCTGACGATTTTCGTCGAAGACAATTTCGACTGAAGAAAGGTGACAATCGTGTTAGGGTGAGACGGAACTTGACAGCACTAGTTTGGAAGGACAAACATGACGTTTACATACCAACAAACATGCACTGTCCTCCAGCAGAAGGCAGTTTCTGTGATGAGCATGGAAATGCCATCAAGCCAGCAATTGTTGCTGACTACAACAAGCACATGGGTTATGTCGACAAAGCGGACAGAATGGCAAACAGTTATAGCATCAGTCATCGGACCTGGAAATGAACAAACGAACTATTTTTCCATTTCCTGGATATGACGATTCTGAACAGTTTCATCCTGTTGTCATCCTGTGGCGCGAAACTGTCACACAGAGAATTTCATCTCGCCCTTGTGTGCAACATGCTGGAACATGCTGCAAGGGGTCCACCTCGCCCTCAACAGTCCATGGGTTGACCTCCTGCTGTGTCATCGGCAATATCTCGTTTAGAGAAGGCCTCTTGACATCACTGGCCGACTTCCTCTACTTCGAGATTGAGATGTCGTGTGTGCTCTTCGCGTAGGAAATGAAGTTACATCCGGACAAAATGCGTGAAGTGCGACGTTGGACTCTGCATTTCCAGACGTTTCCAACACTTTCACACGAAGGCAACATTCAGTTAGATGATGCAGGAGGGAAGACAGTCTACTTATAAAGCTGGTGTCCAAAAATAATGTAAGTAGAACAAGAATTTCTATCTTAAAATTAGATTTTAAAACACTGTGCGCACACGTGGACTGTGAGTCACAATATGGTGCCATAAGGCCACTCAGTTTTACTTTAAAGGTCCCCATATGGTGTCTTTCGGCTCTTAAAGGTTAAATCAGATTTTACTGTTTTACTGTGTCAAAAGGGGTGAAGGTAAAGCTATCCTCGCAAAAGGCCGTGAAGGCCCACAGGGTTGTGAGACACTGAGGGTCCCATATTTTCTCTAGACAACCACCACACAGATGGTGGTAAAGTTGTCAGCCTTATGCACCAACCACCCTTTACTCCCAGGAAGAGTCCTGGTACTCATTTCTCTTAGAGGCTGAGTTGACCCCAGTGCCATAGTGCAGCTGGAAGGATTAGGTAAATTGAAAAATCATGTCAAAAGGAGTATGGCATTTTTTAATTTTACTATCAACTGAAGCATAAAGTAAGTAAAAAAAAAAAGTAAAGCTATCCCTGTACAAGGCCGTGAAGGCCCATAGGGTTGTGAGATGTTGAGGATCCCACACTGTCTAGATAATCGGCTCAAAGATGGCGGTAAGGTTGTCAGCCCTACACGCTAGCCATGCTTTACTCGCCAGGAAAATTATTTAATTAATTTCTGATACTCATTTCTGTTAGAGACTGAGTAAACCCCAGGGACCAGTGTGGCTGGAAGGGTTAGGTCAACTGAAAAAAATCCAATGACCTCATCGGGACTTGAACCTGTGACCTTCCGGCTTGTAGCATAGCTCCTCAACCACTATGCTACCGTGTGCCCCCAACAGCTGAAGCATAGGGGTGACAATGATACATGTAAGTTAGTGACCACATCTTTCGTATATCATGCTTTCAGTTAAAATGGTTCATTGAAGTACTTAATCATCTAACCCTTAGCCAAAATCTAGTCTAAGTAGACTTACCGTCCTCAAGGCTGTTGTGGGGTTGGTAGTATTAGTCTTAAGGGTAACAGGGTCCCGAAGTCCTGCCCCTGTTATTGCTCTTGCAGCATTCATTGCCTGCATCTGCTGAGGGGTTAGTGTTACAGTTTTCAATACGGGAGTGGTGCTGGTTGTGGACACCTGACTTGTTGCTTGTGGTGTCATGGTGACGGTCTTGACTATTGATGCTGCAGTCAGCTGCTGCTGTTGACTGACTGGAGCTGTGAGAAGGGACTTCCCAGCTGCCACTCCACCAGCCAGTATAGTTGGTGATGTCGTCACCTGGAGGCAGGCAGAAAATGTATTCTATTCTGTGTCTAAAATATTTTTGAGGATGTGTCACCATCAGATAGTGATTTAGATTGTTGTATAATTAGAAATTTATTAGATAATTATTAGATTAATTTCAACACAAAATGGGAATGAAAATCATCATACAAGAGATCTCAATGCCTCCTCAAGATGTGATATTTCTCAAGGATGTTTTACACAGACAATAATAAGTCTTATTTAATAATTTTCAAGTAAAGTAAGATAAAAGCAGGACTGAAGATTACTGTCTACTGGGATGTGACGCTATGTATTTTGGTGGAACCTGCTGCCTCCATCTTCAGGTTAGAAGACAGAGAAACAGCATGTTGCTGTGAAACACTGGTAAATATCCAGCAGGACACATGCTGTCACATCCCAAAAGACAGTATCATGGTCACGGCCATGAGAACCCAGTATCTCACAATACAAGTTATATTTCTAGATCTATCAACCATCAGGGTGATCCAAGTGCATTCATTGCTGTAGAGTTGGTTTCTTCTGATCTCATTCTTCGTGAAAATGTCCCCATCAGGACACTAGTTTGAGATACATCAGTGACATGGCAACTACATGAATTGTGGCTGACTTATTTGGTCCATGCTGTAACAACTGTTGAGGTTGTTGGGTTTGGTTCAATTTATTTATATAGTTGGTTATTTATCTATGGTTAATTTAACTATGTAGTCAGGAACTCATAAAAATAAAGTAAGTAATTAATCAAAAAGGATATGATAAGAAGGAATCATGTCATAAGTTGAAGTACTATCCCAGAATTTGAAGGCCTGAGGAAGACCATGAGAAACTTTAGTGAGGATAGCCAGTATCCTGGCTGAGATTCAAACTGAACACCTCCTGAACAGAAGTCAGAAGCATCACAGCTTGAGCAAACTTGGTCAGCAGCTGTGGTTCAAACTGAAGTTTCACTTACCTGTATTGTCAGGGGCCACGCCATAGCTCAAGCGGCTAGTTGCTCGCTTCCCAATGCGGCGGCCTGGGTTTGATCAAGTGGGATCTGTGGTGGACAAAGTGGCGCTGGGGCAGGTTTTCTCCGAGTACTTTGGTTTCCCCTGCCAATCTTCATTCCACCAATTGCTCCACAATCACCCCCACCTATCATCTTGGGATGGTACAATGGGCCAGAAGTGGCCACAGTACAAGGGACTTAGTCACCCCACTAGCAATAAATAAAAAAAAAATACCTGTATTGTCTGGAGCCCAGGTGATGCAGACACTTGGAGATTTTGAACTACCTGTCCTGGTGCGAGAGTGAAGGTCCTTGGCATAACAGAAGCTCGAGAGGCACGCGTTGAGACAGGTTTGGCAGGTGCTGCACCCACAGGCACAGTTTCTGCCGAGACTGTGGTGACAGCAGGAAGGCTAGTCTGGACTGCAGGTGTTGGGAGTGTGGGGAGAGCGGATGGTGTAGATGCTGTTGACTGTGTTGTGGGTGTCGAAGATAACTCCATTTTGATCTGAGAGACTGTGGTGGTAATACTTGCGGCAGCCTCTTTTACAGCAGCTGCACTTTCTTTCTGCTGTTTGCTGCGGCTCGCCTTCCGCTGGCTTGATGATTTCTTTGTCTTTGCCACACCTTGCTGTTGCTGGTGAAGACGTTCTAAAACAAAGAGTTATAATGTAGGATTTGAGGTTCTCACAGAAGTGGTTATGGTGAGCTCTATCGCCTCGAATGTAATGCTTAATAACATCTCTCCAAAAACTTGGGAACCAGGCCAGCCAATGTGGAATGAAGACAAAGAATACCTGCAGTAGAATCTTGACTATCTGCAGGACATTTAGAAACCCTCAGTTACTGATTACAGTTTCCTGATAATGAATTCAGTGTTGCCCCTTACATCTGCTTCACTAACACCAGTATGTGTCACTGATGCTTTACAATGAATTGCATCTTCTCATCCCATTCCAACTGTCTGTTTTATAATCTTATTGTTTTTTGTACTAACCTAATAACACTGAACAAAGGTTTCTTCCTTCTAATGGGAAGATATCTGTCTCGCTGTTTGGTGGGAGAAAGAATGAGCAGCAAGTGATAATTGATTTTCAGGGTAGAATGCAGCATGGATACTGGGTATTTTTAGATTTCTTTTTATATCTATTTTGTTTTTAATTATCCCTGTTGCTTCTCTCTTTCATTACCAAGGATAACAGAGATTTCATTGCACTCATCAATTATTTGAAGCAAACACTATAAAATATATCAAAAAGGGCTGTGCTGGGTGGCACTAAAAGAGGTGAAAATGAATATCTCTATGGATTTCAATTAAACTTGTACAAGTTGTGGAGAAGCATCCTACAAATGTGTATAAAGAGACTTATTCAGATAGGTTGATTTGTTACACAGGGACTTATTATACACATACTTATGCATGTTCCATAAAATGTATATGAATTTCATTCAAATCCACACCAACATTCAGTTTTATCATTCTTTTTGTGCAAGCCAGAATAAATATAATCCATTCTCTTATGCCAACTGCTTTCACTCATACAACAAAATTTTGTACTGGCCCAACACTCAATACCAAATAAAATTCCAGCACAAGCACTACAATAGATCAATGAAATTTTCACTGTGGGGTACATTTATTACAGTTGCACTCACCAAATTCTTCCTCAGTACGTCCCCGGTGCAAGTAGGTCCATATTTTTCGCTTGGTGTCATATTTGACACATGGATCTGTTTCGTAGTGCAAACGATCCAGTGCACCGCTCACTACAGAATGGAGGTAGTTATCCTGTGATAGTTGGGTAAGATACTGAGAATCTTTAAGCAGCTCGCAAATATCTGTACGGGTTCCCTCCCCATTTGGCAACCTTGCAGTGGCATCTCGCACTGCAAGAAAATAACGACGTGAAGAATGCTGAAACGTATATTGGACAATCTGCACTGTCTTGGACTTTTAACCACATAAATTCTGTGCCATTGCCTAGGTGTTAAGAGGTCAGAAATGTCATATCTGCAAGCATTAGACAAACCTATTTTGTTAGTGGGCACCAGTTTCATTAATATATTTTAAAGACCTTGTGATCATAAAAAAATGAAGCTGTGGAAAAGGTTATGTTGGTAACTCACCAAGTGCCAGAATTGTGACAAAATTTGGCCGCTCAGCCACCAGAAGAGAGTGCTCACGAGCCTTATTTACACCTATGCTGTGGTTGTACACTCCTTTCACAGGTCCGACAACAGACTCATAGTTGTGCATTCGGAATGTGAAGGCTCGGTGTGGATTCTCATAACGAAGCCTCTCCTATCAAAAGATAAGACATATCAAGATGATCTACCTCACATCAGTTTTAAAAGAAATATGTAGGAACCATAATACAACTGCACAATATTACTCACCAACTACAATTAAACCCCCATCTAATGTTCAACTTCAATGACCACAGCAATCCCCAAGGAAAGCTTAAATGGGGTTTCGCTAAATACTGACTACTGTCTTCTGGGACGTAATGCAGCATAGTCTGGTAGTCTTATCAACATTTTAGTCTACCCTGAAGATGGTGCCTGCATGTTTCTCCAAAATATTGGTAACAATTTACTGAACTATGTGGCATCACATCCCAAAAAACTCTAATCTTCATAGTCTCCACTATCGGAACGTTAACTCTTGCTATCAATTACATTCTCACAAGTGAAATGCGTCAACTTTGCTGATGCTTCCTTTAGTCTTCTATCTATATCCACGTCTTCTGGGATGTCTTCTTCAAGGNAAATGGGGTTTCGCTAAATACTGACTACTGTCTTCTGGGACGTAATGCAGCATAGTCTGGTAGTCTTATCAACATTTTAGTCTACCCTGAAGATGGTGCCTGCATGTTTCTCCAAAATATTGGTAACAATTTACTGAACTATGTGGCATCACATCCCAAAAAACTCTAATCTTCATAGTCTCCACTATCGGAACGTTAACTCTTGCTATCAATTACATTCTCACAAGTGAAATGCGTCAACTTTGCTGATGCTTCCTTTAGTCTTCTATCTATATCCACATGTCTTCTGTGATGTCTTCTTCAAGGCAGAAGAAGATTCTTGTACCTTGAAGATGCAGGCAGTGATCTAGTCATTCCTGTGATTAATTAATAAAGCACTATGCCATGAAGATGTGTGGGTGAACGGAGGTATTGCTTCACCGCTGACAACAGCAGTAGATCAAGGTGAGTGATTAGGTTCAAGCACCGTCCACTTTAACACCCAGGGAAAGAGCCCCTGGTACCAATTGAATATGAGGTGAGGTGGGCTCCACAGCTTGTTTGGACACTGAGGAGAAAAGAAAAATCTCTTGCCTCAGCTGGGAATTGAACCCTGGCTGTCCAGCCTGTAGCCTGTCGCTATATTGACTGAGCAGACTGAGGAAGCTATGTGTGTAATTGAATATGAGTAGAGTGTAAGTTACTGAACTCCTAAGAGTATAGAAGACATGCTACACTTGTGACATACCTGTTCCCTAAAGCACTCTTTTTCTTCAGGAGTGGTGGGATGCACAACCCATGTGGTCGGACAGCGAGGAGGAGGAGGAGAAGATACTCTCTCCTCTCCGATGCCCTCTCCCGTTTCCTCCTCCACCTCGTCTTCCTTTGTGGGCCGAGCGGTCATTTCATCACGATGGTCTAGCCAATGCTGACACAATGGTTGGAGATGAGAGTCCGAGTCGCGACCTGCCCCTATCCACTGATACGTCTGTAAGTTGGCTTTGTACTCAACGTAAGGCACAAAGTCTTCAGGTTGTGCATCTGCAGAAATACAGGAAGATGTTGTAACTTCTTTGTACACTGGTACAGCGAAACACTACTTGAGCACTAAGTTGAAGAACATCTTAAACTTAGATAATTTAACACTGTAATTAATGATTTTGGATCATTGAAATTGAATATTAAATGAGGGAAAACCTTAAATCAAGAGTTCCACTGTAATGCTTTGTTAGGGGAATGGGTATTTGTACTGACATAATACAGACTGGCACTAAAAGATCTAGATACATACTCATTGGATTTCAGTGTTTGTGGATTTTAGCTTAGGTAGGGTGCTGGGAAATATGTGCTTCCTAAGGTGCACACAAATTATGAAAAAGGTGGTACAGGTATAACCAGACTTAGGCAACACATGCATACCAAAACATGGTTGTGTAATTCAAAAGTTTTACTCATTTTCATTACTCCTTTGATTTCACAACTTTCAATTTTCACCAAAAAATACATATTTATATTAAAATTACTACCATTCACTTTAGCCATTTATCAATCCTAATCTTTTGTTTTAGACAAACAATTTCTTTATTTTTTGTCTTCATTTCAAATATTAAATAAAAAATTAGTGTGCAGTGGTGTAATATCAAATTCAGGTAAGTTGAAATGGTGTAAGTCCAGGGACAGGTGTACAATAATTGAACAGGGCTGAATCAGATGAATGTGTGGCCTTCTGGTAACTTCTTGCCTCATAACTTAAAGCTCAACTGATCATCTGACAAAACACATTTGCCACTAATTACACTTACCCTGTAGAGTTAACCATTATGTATTCCACTGCCCTTGCATAATCTTCAGTACATGGAACTGTTACTTCCTTAAATAATGGAGAACTGTACATTTCTGTTAACATCTGTCACTTCTCAGCCACAGTCACCCTGTCTCCAAATGTTTAGATTTTGGTCTGGAAGTGAATGAAGCTAAGAGGCCGCGCCATAGTTCAAGCGGTTAGTTGCTGCGTTCCCACCGCAGCGGCCCGGGTTCAATCCCGGGTCTGGTCAAGTGGGATTTGTGGTGGACAAAGTGGTGCTGGGGCAGGTTTTCTCCGAATACTTCCATTTCCCCTGCCACTCTTCATTCCACCAATTGCTCCACAATCACCCTCACCTATCATCTGGGGCTGGTACAATAGGCCAGAAGTGGCCGCAGTACAAGGGACTTTTTTTTGTCGCTAGTGGGGTGGGACTAAGTCCCTTGTACTGCAGCCACTTCTGGCCTATTGTACCAGCCCCAGATGATAGGTGAGGGTGATTGTGGAGCGATTGGTGGAATGAAGATTAGCTGGCAAAACCAGGGTACTTGGAGAAAACCTGCCCCAGCGCCACTTTGTCCACCACAAATCCCACTTGACCAGACCTGGGATCGAACTGGGCCACCGCGGTGGGAAGCCAGCGACTAACTGCTTGAGCTATGGCACGGCCTACAAGGAACTTAGTCCCATCCCACTAGCACCAAAAAAAAAAAAAACCACTGATGCTAAAAAAATCTCTAAGATTCTGCATAAATTTTGAAGATGACAATTTGTACATGACACATACTAAGCAACCATCAAGGGCATAAAAATGCATACTAGTACATCAAAAAAAGTAAGTCACTGGTAGACTGTCCCTAGGAATGAACAGGAAAATGTTAATGAAAGCACATATAGACAGAATATTACACATAAAGTTGCTTTCAGTGCCCTCTGTATGTTACTGCAACGAATCAGAACTGTATCTAGGGATATGAATGGCCCACACACCTGGAAAGTCTCCTGACAAGAAGCTGATAGCAGAGGGAAGCATAAGGAGCCACGAGTCAGCAGCTCTGCAGTACCAGTCATTGAGAGGGGAAATCGGATTCTCTTGCCAGGCTTTCAGCCGGTCCTCCAATGTTGCAAGACTCATACGATGGTCTGGCGTTGAGCAGATCACGTCTCGTATCAATGAGAAAAAACAGGCGTGTGTCTCTTGCATCAGCTCAGGTGTTGGTCTGCATGAAATGGGATACTCACTTTAGCCCTTTCTGTAGAGTTTCTTTCCACTAATTTAGAGTAAAGGAGTGTCAAAGGCTGTGTACATACACCTGAAACCTAAACTAACATAAACCAACCAACCTAATATGTATAACAACATATACAGTGGACTCCCAATTAATGGCGGCATATTGTCCGAGAGCACTGCTTAGGAAACTGACTGGTGTGACCAAAGTCGAAAGGTAAACTCCATCATGCAAAATTGTTTTTTAAAAGAGAACAAGTAAAAAACAGATTGAGTTCTTTCTTCATGTTTGAATATGTACTTGGAAACTCAAGAAAGATTCCTTTGCTTTTTTTTTTTTCATGTGTAGAAATGACAAAAGCTTCTCAGAAACCACACTCATGTTTCCACCAACAGCATCTGAGTAAAAGACACTTATAAATGTATGCATAATTTTGTATATTCTTATCCACAAGTTAGTTGCATATTTCTTTTACTAGTTATCTGGAGAAATTCATTTCTCACAAACCCTGAACAATAATCAGGAGTCCACCAAATCTACATACATAGTACAGATAGGGTTAACCTTTACAACAATAAAGAAATACAATTACTTGAAAATTAAAAAAAGTATACAATTACAAAATATCATGATGACAGGCAACATGTTGAATGTTAACACTGTACAGAATCTTTACTTAGCTCGGTCAGTATAGTGACTAGGCTCGGGGCTAGAGGAATCAGAAATGTTTTTGAGTACTAACAGGGACAATACATTTTCATTTTCTCACAGCGTACAGACAGACTCTGAGGTTCATTGACCCTCCCGTTAAATTGGCACTGGGCCTTCTTTTTGTGGGGGTCAAGTGACTGAACAATGAAGCTGACCATTCATTTCCATCCAAGGACAGCCAGGCATGAAGCTATACCTGTATTTCTCATGGCTTGGTGGTTATTTACGCACATAAATAACTTTACTTACAGAAATTAATCCCACCAAAACAAGTTTACTTCCTTATCTTTAGCCTCCTGGTCACAAACTGAGCAAACCACTAAGATATACCAACATATTAAAGCAAAAAGATTTCTATTTTTTCCTTCTGTTGTCTGGATGATAGTAAAGGGAAGCACATTAAATAAGAGCACCTTACAAAATTAGAACAAACTCTGAAATTATTCACACGCAATTTATTTTGAGGATACAAATGATACAGTAGCACCATCTTGTTAACAGCACAATTTAAGTATATGGAGACAGATTACTAACTTGATATCATCGAGATTTATATCCATGGGATCATTTGGTGACTCATCCAGATCTACAGGGAGATTCATCATGTCGATACCGTCGAGATCTGACAGAGTGGCTGCCGTGATATGTCTGCCAGAGTATGTTGAATTAGTAGTCTTGGGCATGGTGATGTTGTTAGTGAGCTGCTGGAAATTCTGTCCACCACTTGATGCTGTGAAGCTGCTCCCTGTGGTCGTGCAAGAGGAAGGGAAGATGTCACTGACCTCCTCCTCTGCTTCCACCTTGATCCGCCGCTGCAACAGGCTCCTGCCACCGCCACCACCACTTGTATTGGTTCTGCTTGTTCGGGGAGATGAGCTGGAAACCAATCTGATGTTTGTATACACCACAGATCCAAGAAAATGTGTCATGCTTTCACTGCATTTTGCTGTAAGGCTACTAAGTGTTTTGACAAATAACAGTATCTTTAATGTTGTTGTCAGTCTCCACAAGCAAATGATGAGACAGCATGAAAGTAGGCAATGGCCAATTCATCACTCAGACACTCTTCAATTTAAAAGTATATAATTTATGAACCTGGGAAGTGTCATTAATTGAAGTATGAAACAAACAAAAATCCGCTGTGTAATAACTGTTACATGATAAGTTTTTACCACTTAAGTTGTGAATGTCGGAACTTTCCGATATTTAAATTTTGTAATAAAACATTCTGGCTTTCAGTGTATTTTGTTTACATTTTCTTTAATTTATTTATGGATTAAAAAAAATACTGTCAGAAACTCAAGACTGTACAGCATCAAATTGAAGGATGACAAATGAACAGTGAATTGAAAACGAAACAGAAGGAAGCAGCTGTTGCCTAATTTTGGGTACTATCCTGGCATCTGCCTGAAGGGGCTAAAGAAAACAATGAAAAACCTCATTCAAGGTAGTTGGAGTCCTTACTCAAAAGCAACCCAAGCATCCATATCTCATAAGCAATACTGGATGAGGCAACTTGTTTGGTTTTGCTAATAAAACAAAAGTAAATATATTTGCACTATACAGGGTGATTCACGAAGTTTTACCCCAGCTTATGGTACATATTCCTGGGGTTATTTCCTGCAAAATTTCCTTATAAACTTGTGGTCAATTTTCAATAGTTACGGAGTAACAATAGATTTGTGTTGGTGACTTTGTGAAGTTAAGATGCCGTACACATTTTCCACTGAGGAATATGCCGATATGGTGTTTGTTTTGGGTGTATGTGATGGAAATGTGAGAGCTGCTGCTGCCGAATATCACCAGCATTATTCTAATCGCAGGATTCCGAATCTTAAATCCATTAGCAATACATTCAACACATTAAGACAAACTTGTTCTCTCCCCAGCATTCGTATACAATACGAACGAAATCCTCAACATGAATTGTGAGAAGAAGAAAACATTCTCGATGCCACAGAGCGCAGTCCGCGTGCCAGTACAAGACGTCTAGCTCAGCGGTTCGGTGTTTCTCAGTCCATGGCGTGGAGGACTCTTCATGAGAACAGGCTGCATCCTTACCATTTACAGCAAGTACAACACCTACAACCAGGAGACTGTGCTCTTTGTCTGCAGTTCTGCAACTGGTTAAATGGAAATCGGAAGTTGTACCTCTTTATAATGTTCTGCGATGAGGCACAGTTTACATGGGACGGAGTCAACAACAGTCCCGACTTACATGTTTGGGCAGACAATAATCCCCGTGCCATGATAGAATCGAATTTTCAACACCGATTCAATGTCTGGTGTGGTGTTCTGTATGATCAGCTAATCGGGCCGTTCATTTTTCCTGGCCGCTTAACTGGTGAGATTTACCTCCACTTCTTAGAAGAATTACCACAGTTACTTGAAGATGTTCCTCTGGCAACAAGACGCCCGATGTACTTTCAGCATGATGGGGGCGCCTCCTCACTTCTCCCGTGCAGTAGCAGCTCACTTGGATCGGCATTTCCCACAGCAGTGGATTGGTCGCGGAGGCTGTAATGCCTGGCCTCCCAAGTCACCAGATCTAACACCGTTAGATTATTGCATTTGGGACTGGATGANAGAAGAATTACCACAGTTACTTGAAGATGTTCCTCTGGCAACAAGATGCCGGATGTACTTTCAGCATGATGGGGGCGCCTCCTCACTTCTCCCGTGCAGTAGCAGCTCACTTGGATCGGCATTTCCCACAGCAGTGGATTGGTCGCGGAGGCTGTAATGCCTGGCCTCCCAAGTCACCAGATCTAACACCGTTAGATTATTGCATTTGGGACTGGATGAAGGACATTGTGTACCAGGTAAAGGTACAAACATGTGAAGCATTGCTCGAACGTATTCTGGACGCGGTGATGACAATAAGAAACAAACATGTGGAACTGTGAAATGCTACAAGTGTGGTTCATACGCATACGACGCGTTCTGCTGACGTGCAGGGAGACATTTTTGAAAAGCTTACGTAAATCCAGTCGTCTTCTAAAGCACTACAGTTTAAATGAAACAGATTGATAGAAGGGTGTGATATGCAACCATTGGTATGTTAACAGAATGAGATGCTGAAAATAATGTAATTTTGTAACATAAAATCGATGAAAAAAGTTGCCC